TTGCGACTACCGAGAAATAGCGTCCTGCAGAAAAATTGGCGAAGACCTGAATTCAACACTGTCTCGCAGTAAAGGTTCTCTAGCTGTTTTAGCTCTCAATTTTGCGTAAAATTGTCTAAATCCCAGTCCTCAGCGCAAAGGCCGTCACAAGCTCTGCATATTCCTTATGGTGTTTGAACTCGATCGCAAACATTATCTGTCCGACAAATCGATTTTTGATCTTCGCAGGCCATTTTCGAAAGCAACTTCACATTGGAGAAGCCTCCGGTCAAACAACTTTCTCTTTAACAGGTCGCGGTTTCGAGCCTCGAAGGGTGCACCATCTGGGGTTGGGTATGGCTGAATGATGACGACTAATAGGTCAGAAATAGCCATTCCGGTTTCGTGGTTTGGTCAGTAATGCTCATCCGTCGACATTATTTTCGCTGATAGACCTTAAGCTATTATTAACCGGCCAGGTCGCACTGTGGACAATTAGGCAAACGTGTCGTGCTGATTAATCGTAATCGGCCGCACTCTGCATGCAGTGAAGTGCGCGGTGGTAGAGCTTTTTTGGGAGGAGCGATTACACACATGACCCTGGCTTCAACTTTTGCTAGACTGTCGCTGATGTTCTTCATACTCCTAGCGACAAGTTCAGTGTTCTCTAAGGAGGTATGCAATCCTAGAGCGGATATACGAAAAACTGACGGATTAAAGGAATTTTCAATGTCCGAGGGAGCATCGGTTAGTATGCACATGTGACAGGCGTGTGTTTGCAATAACGCTGAGCTGATGTTTCTCTGGGAATTGGATGGTCCAACCTCACCTGCAGGCACGTCTTCTGATCCTCGAACACCTTCCTAACGAATTATGTAATCTATCTACAGCGATAATATATTCCTTACATATCAGCGATTTGCCTTCCAGTTCGAAACGAAGAAACTCTTTCGGACTAGAAATAGGCAAAAAGGAAGATAGCAGTTGTCGAGTGAGATTGTGACAACGGAGAAATAGCGTGGTGGAAACAGATTGGCGAAGACCGGGGTTCAACGCTGTCTTGCAGCAAAAGGTTTCCTAGCTGCGTCAGTTTTAAATTTTGCTTCGAACGTACTCATATGTGAAATGGATTCGACAAGACAGAGAGAGACCGGAATGGCCATTTCTGGTTTATTAGCCGCCATCAGCCAGTCACAAACCCAGGCGCAGATCACCCGGGACCTTGAGTCATTGAATTCCCCATTCTATCATTGCCCCACGGGCTCGTTGCTTTGTCTGTCTGCTTAAACCACAGACTACATTGGTATTATGCTTCCAACCCCCCCCCGTCTCTAGGTGAGTGCGCACGCGGCCTCCAACAAGATGACTGACTACAACCTTGGCATTGTGTTCGGTCCCAATCTTCTTTGGTCTAAATTCGCCAACCTCGCTTCTTTTGCTGCCGTCGGGCAGATAACCACCTTTATCCAACTACTTATCTCCAATTTCGACGATATTTTTGTTAAGTAACCTTTCTACGCCCCTCGCAGTCCACCCAGAGTCTATATTTATTTCAGAGTAAGGGAACCATTGTCAGTCCATCCCTCACTTCCTCCTAGCTGACACAATGTTCTCTTGTTTCGTTATTTTATCTCTAGTGAGCGTCTTCTTGTGTACTTTTTGAGCCTTTGAACACAAGTTCCATTATCATTCAATGTTAATGTCTTTTAACGCCTCCAAATGCTGGCAAGTTGGTAGCAGACTGGCATTTAAACTACGCCACCGCTCGTATCAGACTCAATCGGTAGCCCACTGAGGATAAAAAAACCACAAACAGCTTTGAAATTCAGAGAGGCCTTTCCGTATTCACCTGTTGGTCTCGATCTGGGAGTGTGGGCTGTATAGTCAATTTTCCAAATATTCTACACTTGCAAACCCAAAACCTTGAGATAGTCGGAGGGTGAAAAATAGAATTTTCCATTTAAAAAATAACAGTTGAGGAGTTGAAAGGCCTCGAAGTTAACTCAAAGATATTCTGGCGCTTGTACTGACACCGATCATGATTATGTTGATAGAGAGGGGTGCTGTTGTGGGCAATTGGTGGAGTTGCCGATTGTGGTGTTGACGACGTGATTTTTTAGTGAAACTACGTTTGCAGCATGCAGCAGCATTTACAATAAGCTGTCGCGGCTGAGTAAGGCAGTACGGCAGCATATCTGGCGCCCAGTCTGAATACTCCCCGTTACGGGTCCCAATACTCAGCGCGGTCTTCGTAACACCGACAATAATGCTTTTTCTCACATTAAATTTGCAAATTTATCGAAGCAGTGAAGCAAAAAATACACCGGGGGAAAAGAGGAAACGTTTACTTTCGTCAGCATGAAGCCCAAAGCATCCGACTTAGTACGTAATAAGCAAGAAGGCATAACGGCTGAAACAATGCATGCAATATCATTGTGCGGAGAACAAAGGAAGCAAAACGCTGCCAGTTTGGTCTTAGTGTAAACTGTACAGCCAGCCTATGTTACACAAAGCGGCCAAGCAGGAAGCCGAATAAGGAGGAAGGCTTAACCAATCAGTGGGTCTTGGTCTTAGTAGTCGTCCTCATCAGAGTCGATGGCGGCCTTCCTTCGATCAAACTAAAAGCTATTTAGTAACTGTTTATGGAGGTTTACCTTGACAGTGGTCGACGGCTTAGACGCGGAGGCTATCTGGGTGAGGAGATCCTTTAATTGCTCTTCTGTGACCTGTGGAAAGCGGAAAAAAATGCGCAGACATCATATTAGTAAGAATTTCGTGAATTTCAATTGCGAAAAGGGATGAAGTCGCCGCAAAACTACTGGAAATGACACCATATTTATTCGTATACAATTGCCCATGGCCATGCACATTGGCCAGCCTTCATGACTATAGGTATCCATACAGAGAGACTATTCATAGAAATTGGCGGAGGCAAGCTGTTGGCCTCCTAGAGCAAACGTCGCCAAGTATTGGTGGCAAGGCAACAGATTTAAGAATAACAGCGAAACACCAACAAAGACTAGAGACTGAGACTGTTATGGTTTCTGGCGTTTTGGTTACATTCCCGCCCACTTAGGAGTCGCGTTTGCCTAGGCGGCCTTACTGTAAGATTAAGTCGAATTTCCCGATTTGCGACGGACTTTCGGCAGCTGTTGCATAGCAACGGTCAGTCAATGGTCGGAAAACTTTAAAAAGAAGGCAAAGGTGGTATAAAAATAGTCGCTCCTAGGAGCGGCGGAGAGAGGTTGCCATTCAAAACGGAACGCCCCACCTCTTCTTGCAATATAATGATGAGCCAACTTTTTCAAAAAGGACCGAAAACAATGAAGTAGAATTATGTAATATAATTCAACGTATTGTATTTATGGTGGCGTGGATTTAGCGGAAACAAATATTCTTCTAAACGAGCCTGCTGAATGATCTAAAGTCAGCATAATTGTTAGACAGTTTTTCCGAATCCCTCATAAGGAAATACCGTCGCGAAAGTGTTTCCAAGGGGTGTGTCAGGTAACTTGAAGAAACACAAGCAGTTATCCTGCAGCGATGACCAGCGAAGAAACTGTATTCTATAAAAGTGGATGTTCCATTAACTCGAACAGTACATGTGGGCATAATTTTGTGTCATAGTACCGTAAGAACCATTCTCTGTATTCCGCTTATGCACTACTGTAATTCGGATTGAGACAGACACAAATCTTCTAAACGAGCAAAACCGTTGTTATCATTTAAATGTGACGGTATTTTCCATGCAAACGCTGCAACCTACCCAGTTTCTAGTTTGAAACAAGTTTAAGGACCTATGTGTGTGCTTCATGGCTGTCTCCAACTAATGTACTTTTCGAGGACAGATGCGCAAGAGTTAAGGTTTTAAGCATGCGATCAGATGAAGAGGAAGAAGACAAGGCGCAAACCAATACTATGGACATGTAGTAGTCTGCCGCGGTTTCTCCTCTTTACATGCCTCAGCGATTATCACATAAATCCTAACAATCGGAACGCTTTAAAGACAGAGGACTACGCAAGCATAAGAGCAAGATGGAGGAACTAGTCTTGGGTGATGCCAAAAGCGACATGTGATTCCTGAATATTAGGGCACGTAATGTACAAGTCTCATTACCTTTTGAAGGAAGAGCGGTTTGAAGCACTCAGGCAGCTCAGCGTTAAAATACACAAGAGCCAAAATATGAACATCAACAACAATGGGAGGGGGCGCAAGTAAATTTCGGGTAGAAGATCAGTAAAAGTGCTGCTAACGCGACGGTAAATTGCCAACGTCAAACGCTAACATCTGCGACACAGGTGTCGATAATCAGCCAGCTCCTTCTGGGAACAAAACAACCTGAAGGGTATTTAATACAGAAGTAGAAGGCGTTGCGATCACCGGAATCATACTTTTACTTGTCTGAGCTTTCGGTCTCTTTTTAGAGTCCATCATCAGAGAGAAAAGGCATAGACGAAAGACAAGCAACAGTTATAGGACGCAGGGGCCAATCAACCGTAATGGGGGGAGGCGGAAGGGGGGGAG